AGACATAATTGTCGGGATCCGCTTCAGCTGCGGCGTCTCAGCATACCGTGAGCAGTAGCTCGCGGTATACGGTGGCGTCTCAGTATACCGCGAGCTGTAGCGGTTTACTGAGCTTAGGGTGACGGGAGGACGTTAGTTTGTGTCCTCCCGTTACCCTAAGGAGAACTATGGGGAAAAGCCTCGACGACCCATAGTTCTCCTTTAATGCTAATGTTATAACCTGATGATATCATTGCTTTAATCAATTGCATTTTGGTATTGTGTTTATATAATTATTCTTTGTCAAGACCAAATCACTGACAGAAAAGCAGACTAGGGAAAAAGACGGCAGGCATTGTGTGAATCAATAGCGCCCCTTAGTGGCTGATTTTGAATTGACAAGGAATCCGTTTAAAGATTTTTTCCATTCCCTGAAAAGATCTCAATATGCAATGGCATATGTCACTGAGATATAAATATGAACCTAATCAGCCAATTCTGAGTCGCTGAATTGCTCTTTGTTCAGTCCTATGTAGCCCTAAGTTCTTTTTAATCATATCAGCACTGAACAGGCACCAAACCTAAAACACCTATTACCATGCTCTACCCTATAAGACATTAATGCCTTTCGTACTTATGTTGTCTTTTTCTGATGAATTTTCATAGTAATTCTGTTCTTCAAACACTGTATAAAACTGTGATATACACCACTCTTGTGACATGTCACCCTATAACTGAAGACATTGGAAGGTTTCACATCAATGACATTTCAGCACAAAATCTGGGTATAGAAGTTAGTGGGAAAGGCAAAAATAAGGTGGTGTTTTGGGTGATTTTTACAAAAGTGATGTGTTACAGAAATTCCTTTAAACTATTCTACACCTGCTCACGTGCCAAGAATTCTAACCCTTATGGTAACCCTAACAGTAACCCTAGCGCTAACCCTGACCCTAGCATTAAACTTAAAACCTAACTCTAATATTGACCCTAACCCAGGTACTATCCTTTATCCTAACATTAACCCTAAACCTAGCACTAACCCTAAATATAACCCTAAATATAACCCTAAACCTTTTTTTTTAAAGTCATATGATCACCATGAAAGGGCTGACATGGCGATCCCATGGCTTTGTGGATGAACATAGCCACATCAGGGACATTGCTTTGTTTACCAACAAGGTCATATCAAAGAGCTGGGGTTTCACAGCTACAAGATAGGAAAGTTTTCATGGATGTGATCAAGTCACATGGCTGAATTAGAGTCCAATTTCAACTAAATTGTGGGAAACATTTTTCACAGTGAAATCAATTTTTACCACAGTTTTGTTTACACCTTGCTAATATTTACAGGCTTGCACATTGGGGGTCTGCAAATACTGGTTTTTGTTTGCTGAATATTTGCCATTCCAGAGTTTCCACAATATTAGCAACACTACTGTAATGGTGGGTGCTTATGAACTCTACTCATAGCTGTATACAATATCAGGTATTATTCTCCTCTGATGTGATGCATGGTTGTAGTCTTAAAGTGAAGCTCCAGGCAAAAGCTAAAAATGCATCTATAATATATATACTGTATACATGAATTGTTTATCTTGCCAAACGACCTGTAATTCAGTTGATTTAGTCTTGTGATTTAGATTCCTCTACCACACTGCACAACCAGGTAGGTGACAACCTTATTGCTTATTTCAGATTTGTGACCTTTATTTCTCTCTGCCTGCAGCTCGCTTACTGTGTCACTGGTAGGGGCAGGGGAGCTCTCACCAAGGCACAACTCACGTGTGTCAGGCCATTTCCAAAGCTGCTAAAGGTGCAGTTGTTTTGCTACAAGCAACACTTGAGCATGACACTTGGCTTAGCCCATACAATGACAGCTGACTTGGGCAAGTAGAACCAAAATGGAGTACTTAATTTCAATGCAGGGATTGAGTCAGGACAGGCTTGTGGTCAGGGCTGATGGCAGTTAATCATAGTCAGAGGCAAGGGCAGGGCATGCATAGGCAGAAACTATAGTAGATGCTTGGAACTAACTACCAGCAGATGTGGTAAAGAAAACAACAGATGACATCTAAAGCACAAGTGCTCAGTCTCATGCAGATGGGCAAATGTAAAGAGACACTTCTGTGATCAATCTGTGTTCCCTACAACTGTTTCTGATTTTCTTCTAAGCTACATTGGGCTGAGCATTCAAGCTGAGCTGCTTTTGCATGCCTCGTGACTATTGTGAGGAGCAGTCCACTCCTGGCACATACTATTTCCCATCTACACAAGCACTTAGGCTGATATTTGTGCTTGTTTATAACCATTACTATTACAAAAATCTTCAGAACTTTAATAGCTGGTGCCACACATTAGTACGTACTCATTGCTGTATGCACTATAGCATGAATAAGTCCGAACATGAAAATGTTTCTGGCCAAACCAGTGCTGGCATTAATTTGATATTAATGGCTCGTTTTTCTCCCAGGTCAGCTGTTCAGAAATACACAAATGCAGACTAATAGAAGTTGTTTTAAAAAAAGTTCTTAAAGCAGTATTGTTTCTTTTATGTAAATGAGTGTCAGTCAACCACACTGATGATATTACATTGTTACATAGTGTGGTATTGTGTAGCAATCCCACTGTAGAATTGGATGTTATGATCACCCAGGACTCTCAGCCAGGGGGGCTGAGATGTTTTTGTAAGCAAGGGTTTGTCTGGATTCTGCTTGGGATCCTGGAACTGAGAGATTTCAGAGGGATTCAGGAGGGACGAAAGCACCAGCCTTGGGTCCAGGTTTCAGCAGTGACCAGCTCCCAATGATTGCACAGGTGTGCACAGCCCTGAAAGGAAAGGATGCTGGCTAGGGGAAATAGGAACAGACCATCTTCAGGGGTCAGGAGGACTCCCCCCGAAGTCAGAGAGGAGTCAGGTGAGCTCCTGCTGGGATAGGAACAGACGGTGTTCAGCAGTCAGGTGGACTCCCCCAGAAGTTAAAGTGGAGTCAGGTGGTGTGTGTGCTGGAGGCACACGACGACAGCCAGCGAGGCTGGGAAAGAACCGATGAGGCTAGGAAAGCCATGAGCCAGAGGGACCGCCAGTACAAGTATGGGGAAACTCTTCAAAGAGGACCAGTGGGTCAAAAGTGGTAATATGTAAAGTGGAAGCCAGGAGGCTCTGTGTTGTTTTGGAAGCATTGAATGAATGTTATGCTGAACAACTTTTGTTTGAATAAAAGTGGGTTACCAAGCCCTAAAACAGAAGATATTGCGAGTGGACTGCATCCTTAAAGCTCTCACCACATGTGCTAATATCCGCAAACATCACAATAGGTACATAGTCAGGTTAAAAAAAGTCCATTGAGTTCAATTTATAGGGATAATATGTTAATAAGCATGCAAAGGCAACATTGGTAAGGTTTTGAAAAGAGTGTTTAAGGGTTGTTCCCTCTGTCAAGTTTTTATTGCTGTCTTTGGCCCCGTTGGAGAGATTCACCCCTCTATTTGACCTGATCACCACTGTCAACAAGACAGAAAGTACTGGGAAATCCAACAATTTAGAGTTGTCACCAGAATAAGAGTGTAAATCTTCAAATGGTGACACCTGTTCTGGTGACAACTGTCTAAGAGAGGAATTTCACTGACTTTGGGACTTTTCTTTCAACTTCCTATGTGCTTCCAGGACAGAAAGTGATGGGGAATCCAACATTTTAGAATTGTCACCAGAATAAGAGACTAAATCTTCAAATGACGCCGGTTCTGGTGACAACTGTCTAAGAGAGGAGTTCCGCTGGCTTTGAGAGATTCTTTTTATTTTCTTGTGGCTCTTTCAGGACAGGAAGTGAAGAAAAATCTCCAAAATGGGGCTCAGACAGCAAAAAAAAATCTGTTGTCTATACATATAATGTAGGAATTGCATTTTATTTTGCGATAGCCTACCAAATAATGTAATGAAAGAAAAAAGGAGGCTGCAACTGCTAACCTTTCCTTCTGAGAACCATAGTTGCCCTGCCATCATGCTAAGCCTACAGCTATAGTACTTTGACTTTCTATACTAGGATGCAGTTTGCAGATATAGGTGTCTGTTCCTGATCAGCATGCGTGTTCTCGGTCAGTGGCTCAGGCGGTACTTAAGCCATAGGATCAGTATGACAGGCAGCTAACATTAGCAGCAATGGCAGCCCACATTTTTATTTCATTTTAAATGTCAAAGGACTATGCTTCGTGACCTTCGTGTCACCACATCTTCACTCGTGTCAGATAATATTTAAAAAAATGTTTTCATTTATTCAAGTATTTATTATAAAACAAAAATGAATACCAAAAAAATATCTGTAAATCCCCTATTGAAGATTATTAATTTAACTTTGCATCACTTAAACCTTTCCATTCTAGACCCTGTTGCCTTTCTTTAAATCTGGTCTGAATTCAAATTGAATTCCGGACACAAAAACGTTGGCTATTGAAAAATATATTTAAATGAAGAGAGGCTATAAATCCACTTTGAGTGCACCAAATGTCTTTGCAAACACTGTGCTGTACATAGCCTGTGCAGAGAGCAGGGCTGTGGGAGGGAACAAGCAAGCCCCACCCACTACAGGCTGTCTGCAGAAAACTACAAGAGGGGACAAGACCAGTCACCCCGCAGAAGGAGAGAGAGCTGCAGTGACTGGTCTTTAATACAGGAAGCTCATGCATAGAGGCAAAGTTTCTCACTGGACATGAAGTTCACCAAGTGATCACCGAGTGATTCCAGTAAGACTACACACGTCTCTTGTTTTTAGACAATATTTGCTTATCTTGGAGTTTAGCTTTAAGTAGGTCCTGCACAGGGCAAACCCACATCTGTAAGGGAAGTTTATAGAGTATTTGCTTCAAGAGCCCTTCCCTAATATGGTTGACAGCCTACAGTTTTCCTACCAGAATGGATGAACTGGCAGATATAGCCATTTTAATTTTGGCTAGATATGGATTATTAATAACTAATTAGAAACAGACCATGGGGGATTAGATGTGAATACAATGTTATAATAGAAAAAAAAAGAAATATTTATTACCCTTTCTGTTTATATGCATGAAAATATATTTACTGACATAGAACATATAAAATCATACAATACAGAATTATAACATAAACAGACATGTGCTTCATAGATCAGCACAGTCATTGTAATGAAAATAAAAAATACAATTTCATGTAAAAATCAGTTAGAGGGACTCTGCGTGTCAGGTTCTCTTTAGGATGTCAGCTGGGTGGTCTGAGCGGAGAAGCTGGAAATCATAAACACTTTAGGAGGAACGTGTTACAAGAGGTCCGTCGAGGGCAGTCGCAGAGTCTTCCAATCCGCGCTCCTTTCCTGACAGCACACTGCTCTCCTGCGTCACACTGCAATAACAACACATTACATTCAGGATCACACGGTCCAACTACAAACCACAACTTACAACATTTTAAAGTGTCAGTAAACCCAAATATAATGTCATAGTTTATTGTTTCTACAAATTGATATAAAGTTATCCATTATTCATATTGTGTCTCAATATGCCTAAATTACTTGGTGATCGTGTCAGCAGCTTCAGCTTCCTGGATGATCATGACAACAAGAAGTCCAGGGTCCTACCTGGTTTCTCAATGTCAGCCGTCCAGCGCTTCTCTAGAAATCTGTGTTCAGGACACCATATCACGGCACCCTGCATGCAAAATCCTAGTCTAAAACGTTGGGGTCTTGCATGGATTTTTAAGGGGACCCTTCACATCAGAAGCCCCCCTTCCCATCAAGAGACCCCATCACATCAGAGTCCACCCTTCAAATCAGGGTCTCCCCCTTTACATCAGAGTCCCCCTTTACATCAGAGTCCCCCTTTACATCAGAGTCCCCACTTCACATCAGCAGCCCTCCCCCTCACATCAGGAGCCCTCCTTCACATCAGAGTACCCTCTTCACATCAGGGGCTCTCTCTTCCCATTAAGAGACCCCATCACATCAGAGTCCTCTTTCCCATTAGCAGCCCTCATTTACATCGAGAGCCCTACTTTACATCACAGTTACACCTTCACATCAAGAGCCCCCCTTACATCAGACTTCCCCCTTTACATCAGGAGCCCTCCTTCACATCAGAGTCCCCTCCTCACATCAGGGCCCCCCTCTTTCCTTCAAGAGTCCCCCCTTCACATCAGGAGCTGCCCTTCACATAAGAGTCTTCAGTCCCCCTTCATATCAAAGTCCTACCTTATAATCTTCACCACAGTGCAGCTGAATTCTGGGGGAGGTCCTGGATGTAGACTGCCTTGGATTAGTGACATGTATTTTCATGGTGCTGGTGTTCAGATCGCCTGCACCATGGAAATACATGACAAGATTTAAAGGCGCCCCTGACAAAACCAGAAGTAGGAGTCCACAAACAGGCCACGTCTCCAGAGCGGGCCGAGTGTCATTATAAGGCTCATTCCCAAGCCCACGGAGCTGGGGGGAGAAGACTATAGTCTATATTGAGGAGTCATATGACTACTAATAAAATCAGACAAAAATTGTGTTTTAGAGCTATTTATTTTTATTTTTCACCTAAAAGGCATACATAGCCATTGAATAATCACTACCAATATGCATTTGATATGTTTACAGATACTTTTAAGCCTAACTTAGGGGGAAAATAACTCCCTTGCAGTGGGGCTGCCTCCACACTACATGGGTTTATTGCTTGTGTAATGCGTAATGCAACTTTATTTACCTGTTGCCCACTCCCTCTGCAGTCTTCATCTCCTCAACGTTCTGGCTAGTGGACTGTCCCTTGCTGTTCTCACATATAATTCAAGGCCATGGGCCCTGCATCTGAAGCTGACAGCTTTTTCTCCATTCAGATCGGCATCTAACAGGTTACACAGCAGGGAAATCCTCCCTGCTGTGTAATCTGTCATGGACGGAGCCCTCAGCAGTGAGTAGCAAATGAGGGACGGTGAGGCTCCTCCCTGTCGCCTCCCTTCCTCCTTTACACTAGC